ATTCTGACTTGTTCAATATCTGTGGAAGCAGGAAAAAAAATTAAGCCTAACATTGGCTTAAAAGGTAAGGGTGACCTGAATAACTTTTATATTTCAACAACTCCAAGTTCCTGCTTGGGAGCATGAGTTGGAGAACATGTAATACTTGGAACTTAACAGAACCCTATGATAAAGAGAGAACAAAATTCTGTCACTTCCTCATTCCTAGGTACCTTATATTCCAGATTTTTTCCATTTTGGTAGCATAGTCAGTTTCAAACCACTGAAAGCATGTATTATATGATGATCAGTGGCGTTGAGAAAACCTTGGTAGTGAAAAGGGAGAGTCCTGGGCCCCATTTCTCTGGCTACTGATATCCTTGGGCCATCTTTGATTACAGGAGGGTCACTATAGGTCACCTGCTCCCATGACTTTATAAGAAATCATAGGTAGCTGCTCCCCATGACTTTATAAGAAATCATGCCCAAATCATGTTCATCACAACAAAAGGAGACAATTTTTTCTCTTCCTTGCCTTAAACATAGACTCTAAGAGGAAAGATTGTGATCACTTCCTCAATTCTAAAGTCCCTGTTATCTTTTTAAAATTATATATAGAACTTTGAAAAGCCATTGAGTAAATTGCTATGTAAATATTCAAAGTGTGCTTCAGGATACTGTAGTAGGATGAAATATGTTAACAGTTATTTAAAATAGTGAATAGGAATATCTACTTATATACAAAAGAAAGCTGGAGGGGCTATACTAATAACAGATAAAGCAGACTTTAGGACAAATTTGTTACCAGAGATAAAGGGAAGATATTTTATAATAATAACATCATCCTTGCAGAAGGACATATCAATTGAAAATATACATGAAGTTTTGAGGGTGAAGTTAATGGTAGAGTGCTTGCTGAGGCTCTGCATTCAATCTCCAGCACTATAAACACACACACACACACACACATACACACACACACACACACACATATCACACACACACACATGCAACTAACAGTAGAGCCCCCAAATACATAAAGCAAAAACTGACATGAAGAGAGTAATAGGCAGTTGAACAATAATAGTTGGGAACCTTCATTTCCTTCTTTCAATAAAGGATAGTAAAATTGCTATCCTTTATTAGATCAATAAGGAAATAGAGGAGCTCTATAAGCCAACTAGACCTAACAGACTTCTGTAAAACACTTTTTATTTCATAGCAGCAAGATGCACCTTCTCAACTGGACATAGAATATTCTCTGAAAGATCATATACAAGGCCATAGAACAGACACCAATTAATTGAAATTATACAAATTAAATGCCCCAACCAGTTTTGTTAGTCAGCATTCTGTTGTTGTAACAAAATTCTTAAAATGATCAATTTAAAAAAGAGGAAAGGTTTATTTTCATTCACAGCTGTGGAGGTTTCCATCCATGGTCAGTTGGCCCTCTTGCTTTGGTTCTATGGTGAGATGGTATGTAATAGTGGGAGTATGTGGTAGAGCAAGCTGCTAACCTCTTGGTGGCAAGGGAGCAAGAAAAAGAAAAGAGAGAGGAAGAGACCAACATACACCAGTCCTCTTCAAGGGAAGGCCAGTAGTGACTTAAGACTTCTCACTTGGCCACACCTCTTAAAGGTTCCATCATCCTCCGTAGTGCCAATTAGACTGACCAAGCCAAAAGGAAGACTCAAAGTCTAAAGTCAGGAATTGATAAAAAGATATATGATGTATGCCCTTCAGACAATTTCCGGAGACTTTAATCACTTTATTTATTAATGATGGGGTTTTGTGGGGAAACTGGTCTACCTGGCTTTTATAATAGTATTCTGGAGTGGTTCTCATGACCTGTCACTATTCAGCATGCATTTTGGGGGTGTAAATAGCCATTGTGTGGTTAGCATACTCAAGAAATACAAGATTAGGAATGAAAAAAAATAATAATGTTGATTACGTACTGATGGCTGATAACTAAGTGTTCTGCAGTGTTTATCATGCAGGCTTTGCTAAACTTTTGAGTCATGGGACATCCTGAGGCAGATTTTCATTATACACACTCACAAGGGCCCAAGACAGGAGCCCCAGCAGTGTCAGGCCTCTTCTTCAGCTGGAGCCTGGCAGCAGAGGCAAAGCATGGCTCAGGGCCTGGATACACAGCTGCAGCCTGCAGGTGGCTCAGCTGTCCTACTTAGAAGCCTCATGCACCCAGTGTAACAGTCACAGAGGGAGCTCCAGATGGCATAGTAGTCATGGCTGTGGGGGCACAAGCAATGGAATCCACACCACAGGTTCACAGGCCTCTATTCAAGGTGCTGTCTGTCCATCAGAGGTCATTTTTTGCCATGTGTGCCCATTGCCTGGCACCATGGCTATTGACATTTTGGAGCCAGAACATGAACTATAAGTCAAATTCTCACATAGAAAGAGAGGAGTTTCATTAATCCTTTATCTATGTTCAGATTTTGCAGTACCCCAGTTCTGTCCTTGATGGCAGCTTATTCCCGCAGTCTTGCCTCAGCTGTTGCGTTTAGTTACCTTGGATCTTCTGTTTGTTTTAACCTGTTATGGTTCTTCAGCCTTTCTTTTTCTTCATGACCTTGCTGGTTTTGAAGGATGAAGGACAGCTGTGAAACAGTTGAGGTTTGTCTGATGTTTCCTTGTGATTGGTTTCAGGCTGTGCCTTTGGCAGGAATGTGATGGATGTTCTGTTAGGTTCTTCTCAATGCACCCATTCAAGAGGCACTTGATGTCGAAATCCCATCGCTGGTTGTTTTAGTCAGCTCGTTCACTGCTATGACCAAAAGGCCCAATGAGAACAATTTTAAGGAGGAAAAGTTTATTTTGGGGCTCACAGTTTCAGAGGTCTCAATCCAAAGATGGCCGACTCCATTCCTTGGGGCCTGAGGCAGAACATCATGGCAGAACGGTGTGGTGGAGGAAAGCAGCTCAGACATGGGACCAGGAAGCAGAGAGTGAGCGAGCTCTGCTCAACAAGGACAGAAGATAAACCCCAAAGGGGCACCCCCAGGGACCTGCCTCCTCCAGCCATACCCTTCCTGCCTGTAGTTATCACCCAGTTCATCTCTATCAGGGAATTAATTCACTGATTGTATTAAAATTCTCATAACCCAGTCATTTTACCTCTAAACTTTCTTGCATTGTCTCACACATGAGCTTTTTTTTTTTTTTTAAGATTATGATTCTTTTATTAACAGGGGTTTTGGTCATTTGAACCAAAAATATATATATTTAAGGGGGTCTTTGTTTTGCAAGGCAATTAGTGCATGTATGGTTTCTGACCTCAAACATCTGTTGGGTCACACGTGAGCTTTTCTTTAATTTTTTTTTTTCAGTTGTAGATGGACACAGTACCCTTATTTATTTATTTTTATGTTCTGCTGAAGATCAAACCCAGTGCCTCACACATGCTAGGCAAGCATATACCACTAAGCCCCAGCCCCAGCCCTCACACACGATCTTTTGTCGGGGCATCTCGTATCTAAACTGTAACACTGGTGATGTTAACTGTGACCATTTGGTTAATAAGTTGATGTCTGCCAGACTTTTCTAGCATCAAAGTAACTTTTTCTTTTTGTGATTAATTAATAAAAATAAAAAGGACCTATGGAGGTAATTTATTGACAATCTTGTTCTGAAACAAGCAAGATAAAAATATAGCAAAAATATTTTTTGCAACCAACACAGGCTGACCTAAGAAAACAGATGCTTTCATCGGCTTCTTTTAGTATCCACTGATTCTTTCCTGAATCAGTTTTTATTGTGATGCTGTCAGATGGTGATATTCCTCCTATTCAGTCTTTATTTGTCATTATCATTATCATTGTTTGTTTGTTTTTTGGTACTAGGAATTGAACCCAGAGGTACCTAACCACTGAGCTATGTCCCCAGCTCTTTTAATTTTTTATTTTGAGACAGAGTCTTGCTAAGTTGCTTGGGATGGCCTTGAACTCCGGAACTCAAACTGTACTGTCTTAGTACTACAGGAACATACCACCTTGTCCAGGTCAAACATTACTTAATGACCCTGTTTTGCTTTTTAAGTACTTATTGTAATACTTGTAGCTCTGCCCGAATATTAAGCAGGCAGGCTTTCTGTTTCTTCTTCCAAATTCTTGTGGTTACTATTGAGAATTTAAAAGTCCAGTTAGAAAAAAAGAATCCAGTTATAATTGGGAATTTTAATCAGGAAAAACAATCAGAATAGGAACATTGTGTCAGCTAACGAAGGACAATAGGTCCCAAAGGTTGGGAGGCCCTCTCACTAAGTGCCTGTCCCAAGGAATGAGACAAGAACCAATGAATGTGATGGGGAGGCCAGACTGTCCTCACCTATGCCTGCCCTGCTTGGGGATATGTGAGGATGACAAGAGAATACAAGGTAATAATGATGTAAAGTGTCAACACACTGAGTGGCTAGAAGGATCTGGTGCCCAAGTGGTTGAAAAAGAGCTATAGCAGAAGGATTCTAAATCAGGAAAATTGAGTAACCACTTTAAGGAGGAAGTCATTGAACCCTATAATAGTAAAATTATCATATAAATGGGTTACAGTAAATGCATGAGAGAGTTGGACTTTAAAGACTGTGTCATTTGGGAGTGATGTAAAACTCCATTCCAAAGAATACTCGTGTCTCTGTAGTGGCTTGCTGAGCCAAGAAAACTAATTTATAAAGCTTTCATCTGTTTTCTTTGATCAGCCTGTGTTGGTTGCAAAAAATATCTTTGCTATATTTAGTGGTTTGTCATCTTGCTATTTATAGACTAAAGATTATTTATAGGGTGAATAAACAGCATGACATTCATTATTCTTTTCAATTTTAGTTTTCACATGATGATTGCTCTTTTAAGTTAGTTGCTTATAAACCTCCTACTTAATGACATATGTATCTTTTTTTCTTTTAATTGTAGATGGGCACTACCTTTATTTTATTTGTTTTATGTGGTGCTTGGGGTCAAACTCAGTGCCTCATGCATGCTAGGCAAGCACTCTATCGCTGAGCCACAATCCCGGCCCCTGACATATGTATCTTGCAAACCTACTTACATGACATTTTTCTCATTCTTCTGTAGGTACCTCTTATTTAACAGACATCGTGTGGTGGGCCGGCACAATTGCAAGTAAGTTGCCCTGGTGGTGAAGTCTGGTCTTTTTGTTTCTCTCTGAAGGTCAGTCATCTGGGCAGGGCTGGAGCCAGCAGATGAGTCTGGCTCTGTCTTTTGGAGGAGGGTGTCACTCTTCCTCTTCCTAGGCTTTGAATATCCATGATGCCACCCACTCCCTCCTGAGAGTCACTGGCCTTACCCCCTTTGTCCTTTCCTTTTTTTGGAAGGGAGTTCATGGAATGGTGTAGAATGACTACCAGGAAGGAGACAGCAGAGGCTCCTGCTGCCCATGCTTATTCCTGAATCCGGTCTGGGTGAACCTGCCCTGGGCCTGCTTAGTCATCCATAGCCGGTCTGATGGCTTTTGGTGGAATTCCATTTGTTAAACTGCCTCATTTTGCTCAACACATTTGATTTAAGAAGGAGCATTTCTTGACTCAACTCAGAGACCAGATCAGAGGTCATGTGCTATAATATAAAAATAAATAACAAAATCAGAGTTCAGAATTGTAAGAATGTAAAGGACAATTGTATTAGAGGTTTCAGAAATATCATGTGGTTTACTTGTTATGTATTATCTTTTGAGCAAGACATTACCTGCCAAGGCTGATACTATTCATTAAAGAACTTCCCTTTAAGTACTCTCAGGTTGAAGGACTCTCCCTCAGACTCTCTTTGGATGGAGCCCCTGGGGCAGTCCTGTGCAGACAGCAGTGTTTTTACTTGGTGGCCCAATAACTCAGCCCTGTGGCCAGCTGCCTTCTCTAGAGTGGGTTTCAGGCCACATGGAAGGTCTACCCAACTTGGGAAGAGGCTGATCAATGAATACTAAAATACAGTTAGATAGGAATAAGATGGTCTGGTTTTCTATTGCACAGTATTGTACAGTAGAGTGACTGTAGGTAGTGATAACATTGCATATTTTGAAAAAGCTAGAAGAAAGGATTTCTAGTGTTTATACCATAAAGAAATGTTGTATGGTCAAGTAAATAGATATATTTAATTTAAACATTACACACTGTATACATGTGTCAGAGCATCATATGGTACCCCATAAGTATATACAATTTGTATGTTTCAGTTAAAAAATGAATTTTAAAAATAAGATTTTTTAAAAGATTATATTAAAAGTAGTATTTTAAAATTATATAAATTTTTTAAAAAACCTACAAGGATGTACTAAGGAATGTACTCGGTATTGCACTTATTGCCAGTTACTGCCAGTTACATTGGCTGTTTCCCTAAAGGGCTGGAACTTCTCCCTGGGTAACTACACCAGTGAAGCTGCAGGATCTGCTCTGTGTACTCATGACCCTGAAACATAAGTGACACCCAGATTTGCTTCCTCACAAGCAGTGGAAAAGAAGTAGCCCTTTCAGAGCAAGGCCTTGCAAAATTCAACTCTGTGATCAGTGCTAAAAGTGAGCTCTATAATTGCAAGTAGTGTCCTTGTAATTCTCTTGACAGTGGCTGTTGGCCAGATTGGAAATTTCCTGGCTTACACGGCAGTCCCCACGGTCCTGGTGACTCCCTTGGGTGCGCTTGGAGTGCCATTCGGGTGAGAGCTGAGATTCTGTGTTTTGATATTGGATGTGTAGTTTAGATTATGTTAAAAAACTTTCAGTTTTATGTGTTTCTGTTTTTTTTAAAGAAAGGAAAATTCTAAGTAAAGATAGGGCTTCAAATTCCACTCTATATCATTTAATTTTATTCCTTCAAATGTAGTTCTGTGTATTATTAACCCTTCTCTTAGGATTTACTTTAGTGTACTTTAAATTCCAACTTATTCAAGGTTACCAGTGAATCTGGTGCTATTCACTCTCAAGTGCTTTGCCCTGGGAAATCTCTTAGAAATCAGAGTCTTCCTTAACACCCTGGCAAGTTATTCTGAGAAAGCACGAAGCAAAATGTGTCAATGGTGTTTTATTGGGTGTTTAGCATCCTTTGCTGGACTCTGGACAGTGCCCCACATTACTCTATGAAATTATATAGGTTGGGACAAATTACTCATGGGTAGTACCAATGTACATAAAATAAGGTTTATGATTCACACAGTAAGTAGCAAAGGATCCCCCACTCCCCACCCCCCAAAAGGGGCTCTCATTTGGTGCTGTGTGAAAACAAGAGTTTGAAGGGTGCTGCCGGGTGTAGTGGTGCACGCCTGTAATCCCACTGGCTCGGGAGCCTGAGGCGGAAGGCTGAGGCTGGAGGATCGTGAGTTCAAAGCCAGCCTCAGCAACTTCAAGGCATTAAGCAACTCAGTGAGAATACAAAATAGGACTGGCAATGTGGCTCAGTGGTAGAGTGCCACTGAGTTCAATGCCTAGTACCAAAAAAAAAAAAAAAATATTGAAAGTGCTTTGGGTTTTTCCTGTAGGTGTGTGCTTTTGAAGGTTTGCACACTGAAGCTGAGTCTTTCATGGTTTGAAATATCTGCCCACACCAAAGATTCAGGGAATCCAGGGACAGAGAATGTGAACAGGCTTTCTTACCATATTTCCCAGAAGTAGGGAAAAGGAGAGGAGTTGAAGGTTGCTAGTTGTCAAATATCACAAATGGAATTCCTGAGACTGTGTAATTTTTAAATAAAAGAGATTTTATTTTGGTTCATGGTAGTGGAAAGTCCAGGTTCAGGCAAGTGCCCCATGTTACTTGAGTTTGTGGCAGAAAGTGAAGGAGGCCAAACGCGAGGAACAACCTCACATTAAACAACCCATTCTAGTGATAACTAATCCAAACCTGTCAGAGCTGCACTGTCCCTCTCAATGACTGATCACCTCTTACAGGCCACCAGCTCTCAATAATGTTGCATTGTGAATCAAATATCAACATCAGTCTTAGCAGGGACAAACCTTATCCATACCGTAGCACTTGGCTGACTACAAAAATTATTTTTATGTGACATTTATTTTATAGCTCAACACATATCTTTGTGAACACATTTACATTCTGCTTTACTTTCAAATAAATCATTAATAAAGAGAAATAGGGTAGAAGAGAAATAAAGTTTCTAACTCATAGATTCATTGGTTTTCAGCTATATTCCAGACAGACCCCCAAATCCTTGGCAGAGAAGGGCATCTATGATGGATATGTTTATGTTTCACTTTAAATTCACTGAGGCTTAAAATTCTGTGGTTTAAAAATCACAAACCATGTTTATCACATATGAAGCTTTGGAACTATGTTGTAGCACATTGTTCTTATCCAGATATGTTCGATCCCTGCGTGGCTTAGAATCACTTTGTTTTTTGGATGACTCTGAAAAGCTGGGAGGGCCAGAGTGGTGCTCACATCTAGAGTCACTCCTCCAGCTTCCTCAGTTCATTCCCCTAGAAGGTAATCAAGCTAACTCCATTATCTTTTATGTGGCACATTTAATGTGCACATATTAAAAGCCTTGCCTAGGTAATTTCCTAAGAACTGTTCTTACGCACTTTGATAGTTGAGTTACTTAACCAGAAATGCTCACTGCTCCAAGTCTGCAGAAGATGTTATTTACCCAAAGAAATGTGGGACATGCCATTTTGGATAAAAGACTGCCAACTCAGGATTCCAATTTCCTTTTCTCCCACCCTTTCCAAGAAGCGAACCCAGGGCTTTGTGCATGCTAGGCAAGTGCTCTACCACTGTGTTTCATTACATCCTTAGCCCTGAACTACTACTTTTTTTTTTTAAAGAAAAAAGTTAAAATTAATTTGGAAAAAAAATCACAAAAATATAAGTGCACATATATGTATGTATACATGTATAGATATTTTATAAGACGTTCTTTTGATATTGGGATGAGTTGCTTGTATTACACAGACCAGAAATGAAAAGAATATGGCACTAGGAGAAAATAAGTCTATCAGAGAATAGAATGAAGAACCCCAAAATAGGTCCATTTTTCCTGTAACAATTTAATGAATGATAAAGTAAATATCAAAACATTTTTAAAAAGTGGGTTTTTAAAAAACTTCTTATTTGGAAATTAAGAAAAAAGGTGCAAGTTTAGGAAAAATCTTAACACTCATATCACTTTGCTTAGACACATGTTAGTGACGTTTTACCCCTCTTGTTCTATTAGTTACTTTCTCTATATTAGAGTTTCTTGCTTTGGTACTATTGACATCTGAGGCCAGGTATTTCTCTATCATGGGGGTGGGTGTATGTCCTGTGCATTGTAGGGTGCCTGGCAGCATCCCTGCCTCTACAGCATTCACCCCCTCCCCAAAATGTCTCTGAACATCAGCAATTCATCCTTATTAAAAACCACTATTCTCTATGTATGTGGGATTTATTTTGTTTTTCATGTTCTGGGGTTGCTTTTGAATCCATTCGAAGGTAAGGTTTGTTTTTATTTTTTTTACAAAGGTGGGAATAGAACCCAGGGCTTCACATATGCTGGGCAAGCACTCTTCCATGAACTTACATTTCCAGCCCCTGAGATTAAGTAATAATGCATCATGATTATTATGTACTTCCAAAACTAAAGAAATTCTCTGCATAACCACAAGTCAGCATTAATTTCAATTTTTTTTTTTTGGTACTGTGAATTGAACCCAGGGTGCTTTCATTTTTTTATTTTGAGTCACTAAGTTGCTGAGGCTGGCCTTAAACTTGCAGTTGTCCTTCCTTAGCCTTCAAGTAGCTGGATTACAGACATGTACCATGGTGCCTAACCCAGTTTTGATAAATTTAGTCTTGTTACAATTCATATATCTTTTTTAAAAAAATTATATATATATATATATTAATTTTATTTTATTTTAGTTGATGATGGGCCTTTATTTTATTCACCTATTTATATGCAGTACTGAGACTCAAACTCAGTGCCTCACTGGGCAAGCACTCTACCATTGAGCCACGTTCCCAGCCCCAATTTCAATTTTTGTCAACTGACTTTAATATACTGGTATTTTATAATGTTTTCCTTTATGTCAGTATTTTTTCTTTCTAATACAAAATCTAGTCTAGGATCAGGAGCTACATTGAGCTTTCATGTCTCTAGTATTAAAAAAAAAAATCATTTTTTTTTAACAGTGATAGGTTTGAACCCAACACCTTTCACATACCAGGCAAGCATTCTGCCACTGAGCTACAACCCCAGTTCCTTTTATTTCTCTTTAATAAACAGTATTAGGAAAACTGGTAAGCAAATTGTTAGGAACGTCAATTTAAATCTAATCAGGGCAAAATCAAAATGTGATTATGTGAGTTAAAATACAGAGTAGCTATCAAGTTTGGAAATAGAGACAATTATAATATTAAATGGTATGTTGATACTACATTCCTGTGTATGATATATGTGACATTACATGAAATGTTCAAGTACATTGTCCTTTATCAACAGCACAGAGGTCCGTGTGCTGTGGAAAGCTGCATTAACTGTTATTTCCACCACTCCCTGCCTAAGCTGTGGCACACAGCTACAGAAGGTTTATGTCTCTGAACAACCTACATCTCTAACATATCCAGAGGAAGTAATGCAGAGGCTCATTCTACAAAAAGAAGAAAATGTTTAGCTATGTTTCCAGATTTCGTAGACTATGTATAGCTTAGACACATGTTAGTGACATGAAAAAAATAGAATTTCCTTCAGATCTTTGAAGTATAACAAGTTTCTAAAATTGAAAGTAATGAAAATTAAAAAGTTAATTTTCTACAAGGAAAAAATAAGTAGACTGGGGAAAACGTTTCCAATATGACAATGGTTAAAACTAGGATATGAAGAATTTTCTTTTTTTTTTTTTTTAAAGAGAGAGAGAGAATTTTTTTAATATTTATTTTTTAGTTTTCGGCGGACACAACATCTTTGTATGTGGTGCTGAGGATTGAACCGGGGCCGCACGCATGCCAGGGGAGCGCACTACCACTTGAGCCACATCCCCAGCCCAGATATGAAGAATTTTCACAGAGGGCTGGGGTTGTGGCTCAGCGGTAAAGTGATTGCTTAGCATGTGTGAAGCCCTGGATTCAATCCTTAGCACCACACTGTAGTTGTGCCCAACTACAACTAAAAAATAAATATTAAAAAAAGAATTTTCACAGAATAATACGAAAATCTCAATAGATGGAATGAAGGACAGGAACTGTCAATTTATACACAGGAAAATACGTTTAGGAAAATAAATTTATTCCACTAATATTAAACTTTATTTTCATTAGAATGTATTTAAGCTCCCAGATAAAAAAATAAATACCTGACAATTTAGTAGATGTTTGAAAGACAATAAGAACGTCAGAGTGTATGGTAAATAAATAAGTAAATATAGTGACTTCCATAAATATGTACTTGGTTTTTTTTCTCTTCTTAGCTTCTTTAATAAGCAAGGAAATGATTATAATATATTATTTGGTTTTAGATATATGTACTCACAAACATGCAGAAAAAAAGAGGAAGAGAAAACAGCTACATAGGAGTAGCATTATATCTCACTGGGTTACATTAGGATCAATTTATTCTGTTAAGCACTAAGAGAAAGCACTAGAAAAAAATTTAAATGTAACAAAAATATTCTTAAAGGAATTAAAATTTTACACCGAAAATAATTCATGTAATGCAAAAGGAAATAG